GAAGTCATCGCATTGTTAGTCATCTCATTTGAACCCAGTGTGTATTGTAGTGAGTTAGAAAATGCCTTTGATGCCACACTGTTCTGTGTTCACATTACAGTTCTGCCACTCAGCACCGCTGAGACTCTGGCAGTCACTTTATTCAGCCAAGGTTTCCTCATCTGTTAATGAGGAACCATTTATAAGTTGGATATGACACCTACTTAATAAGGCTGTGGAGAAGATTAAATCAGAAGAGAAGCAACTTGTTCACCACAGTGCTGTCAATAAATCATAAATGGGGATTGCATTATTATTGAGTCAATTTTATTATTAATAATTAATAAATGTTAGCACTTATTGAAAGCTGTCTACTGTTTAACAATTAAAATCAGAATAATAGTACCGGTTTTCTGTTTCTTTACCAAAATATCTGCTCTCAGAGCTCAATTTTTTATTCATTGGAAAGAGCTTTTGCCAGATCTCCGTCAAAATGTACAAATCAATTAATTCACTTTTTTTTTTTTTCCTGAAAGCAGGAAACATGGATTTCTGATCCCAAGCCTTTTCTTACTGCAGTAATCTCCAAGCTCTACTACTAGAGGTTTAAATAAGTTGAGATGGAGATTATCTTTCATCACAGTCTTCTAATAATAATCTCTTCTTTGATAAGAAATTTATGGCAGGCTGCTAAACTGCTAGTTTATTGATGATGAGAGTATCAACTGTCCTTGGTACAAATAAACAGGGGTTTTTGATTCATAAGCAGGGAGACAGGGCATCTCCTGGGCCCTGGGGGCTGCGTAATTTATAGGCATTCAATTCTCATCAATGTATTGTCAGTATATCCAGGGCATCTGACAGGTTCCTGTTTGCAGGATGGATGTTCTCTCCACAACCCAGGGAGCACAGAAAGAGAGGTCTGGCCTCGCAGGCTTAAAGGCTCCATTATCACTGAGAATTTCACAACGGGAACTGCCCCTGGGTCCAGGTTTTTCTATTCCAGGTCGTTCAGGATTGGGTACATTCAATACAGTACTCAGGTCAAGACAAGGCAAACACTGCAAAGTTTGCAAGTCAAGGTCTAGACTTCTGCTGAAGGTGCTAGATGCAAGTTCCAAAGACCAAGCCATGACCCTCGGAGTTGATGGTAAGAAGGAGGATCATTCTCACATGGAGGGGACTGGGTACCAATATGAACACCATAGAGGACCCTGTGGCAGAGGCTGCTGGCTGCCTGTTCAACGGCCATCAATCATTCCTGCCTTCACCCTGGCTAACAAAATCTGAGGTCCCTCCCAGGCCCAAAGAAAGAGTCTTGACTTGTGGGAGACCGTTGTGGTACTCTCACTCTTCTTGCAGAGACACACTTAGATGTGTGCCACCATTCTGGTCCATGGGTCACAAGGAAGGTTCTACTGGCCGAGGCATCTGGGAAGATGTTCTTTACCCTTCAGACAGTGCACAAGACAAGCACATTCCTATCTCTTTCTGCCTCTGGTCATGGTTGTCTGCAAGTGGCTCCTGGGATTGGGCAATCATTTTGTGACCATGAGGCTTGACGAAGAGGATAAACCAATGTGTGGTAAAAGCAGAAAAGAAAGTCAGAGCTCACCCAGGGACTTAAAGATGAAGCCCTTGAATTAACCAAATCAGAAACTGCTTGGCCTCCAGACTTCTTCTCATGTGAGATTATGTATTTTGCTGTGGTTGTTGTTGTTCAAACTACTTTTACCAGTTTTCTGTTGGCCAGTATCACTTACTGAGGCCCTAAAAAGCACCTGTATCTCACATCCTCAACATTCAATGCTGAAGGAAATCAGGAGACTGCTCTAGAAAGTACTACTTCTAGAAAAACTGCTAAGATTAAACCCAGGTGCATAGCTGGGACCCACCTAATTCAAACTTTTTCTATGCCTTGTTTAAAGAGGCTCCTTGGTAAGTGGCTTCAAGCAAAAGGCAAAATCTATAAAACAAATAGTCCCACCAGTTGGCTGACTCTTAACAATGAAACAGAAAGCTTTACTTTTTATTTTTCGCATTATAAAAGCAACATGTGTGCATGCATGCATGCTAAATGAATTCAGTCATGTCTGATTCTGTGTGAACCCATGGACTGTAGCCCGCCAGGCTCCCCTGTTCATGGGATTCTTCAGGCAAGAATACTAGAGTGCATTGCCACTTCTTTCTCCAGGAAATGTGTGTGTGTGCTTGTAATAGACATAGGTTTAGACAGTACATACTATTTTGTGAACTGCTTTTTACACTTAAAATTGAAGTTCTCAAACAATATTAGGTTCTCTTGAGTATTTTTAAAGGCCTTATAAACATCTAAATTAATTTTATCTACTCACCCACCCAACTCAGCTGACAGTGATCGACTGTGTAACAGTGGTGTACCTCACTCTTATAAAACTCTCCATTGGATGAAATAAGTGAGAGTTCATGGGAACCCACAGAAACTCACTGCTCCTGCAGGATTTAATAATCAGAAACTGGGGAGCAGCCACTACATGCAGATGTGGACAAAGGTACTTTCCACGGCTAGAGACCCATAGTGAACGTCAGTATGAATGAACAAGTGGCAAAAGACACCTTGTTGGTAAATCAGAGACAAAAGTCATTCTTTGTTCTTTCATCCCAAATCAGCAGCTTTCACGGATACCACTTATGTCCATGACCAAGGACTAACATACTTGCAATCAGCAAATGTGTTTGAATACCACACATTACACATCTGTGGGAGAACCATGGCCCAGGCAATACAACTATACAGTCAGGACCAAAGTTCAGAGTCAAGGCTGTGCTGAAACGAATAAATGATCACCGTTCACAACTGGCGAATAAAAAGCTCTTAGGTTTGTCATTCTTTACTCCATGGTTCCCTGCCCAAGGATAGTAGCCCTGTGTGTTATCACACTTCTCCTTTTCTTCCAACATACCTACATATACCAATCTGTCACCTTCTCAGACAGAGATTGACCACGGACCAGAAGTGACAGAACTTGTGTTGGTGGAAACAGAAACAGACTGTTCACACTACTTACTAGGCTGTTATGTGGCTTGGAGCGTCTGTGTATTTATATGTGTATTTATTCCGTTCAATCGTTCAGTCGCTCAGTCACGTCCAACTCTGCGACCCCATGGACTGCAGCACGCCAGGCCTCCCTGTCCATCCCCAATTCCCAGAGTTACTCAAACTCAGGTCCATTGAGTCAGTGATGACACCCAACCACCTTATCCTCTGTCAACCCTTCTCCTCCTGCCTTCAATCCTTTCCAGCAGCAGGGTCCTTTCCAATAAGTCAGTTCTTCACATCAGGTGGCCAAAGTACTGGAGTTTCAGCTTCAGCATCAGTCCTTCCAACGAATATTCAGGCCTGATTTTCTTTAGGATGGACTGGACGGATCTCCTTGCAGTCCAAGGAACTCTCAAGAGTCTTCTCCAACACCATAGCTCAAAAGCATCAAGTCTTCTGCACTCAGCTTTCTCAATAGTCCAACTCTCACATCCATACATGACTCCTGGAAAAACCATAGCTCTGACTAGACAGACCTTTGTTGGCAAAGTAATGTCTCTGCTTTTTAATATGCTGTGTTGGTCATAGCTTTTTTTCCAAGGAGCAAGCATCTTTTAATTTCATGGCTGCAGTCACCACCTGCAGTGATTTTGGAACCCAAAAAACTAGAGTCTGTCACTGTTTTCATTGTTACCCATCTAATTGCCATGAAGTGACTGGAATGGATGCCATGATTTTAGTTTTCTGAATGTTGAGTTTTAAGCCAACTTTTTCACTCCCTTCTTTCACTATCATCAAGAGACTCTAGTTTTTCTTCACTTTCTGCCGTAAGGGTGGTGTCATCTGCATATCTGAGGTTATTGCTATTTCTCCCAGCAATCTTGATTCCAGCTTGTACTTCATTCAGCCCGGCATTTTGCATGACGTACTCTGCATATAAGTCAAATAAGCAGGGTGACAATATACAATCTTGACGTACTACTTTCCCAAATTGGAACCAGTCTGTTGTTTCATGTCCGGTTCTAACTGGTGCTTCCTGACCTGCATATAGATTTCTCAGGAGACAGGTCAGGTGGTCTGGTATTCCCATCTCTTTAAGAATTTTCCACAGTTTGTTGCGACCCACACAGTCAAAGGCTTTGGCATAGTCAATAAAGGAGAAGTAGATGTTTTTCTGGAACTCTCTTGCTTTTTCAATGATCCAACAGATATTGGCAATTTGGTCTCTGGTTCCTCTGGTGTCAGAAAGACTGTGAAATGGGAAATACATGTATTTAAATCAAAGTGTGGTGTTATAAACTTATACTGGAGCTGATCCTATCTATGATGAGAGAGCAGACTGCTCAATAGAAGTGCATCAATAGCAAGATAAAGAAAATGAACACGTTCCAACAACAAGCATCAACGCTCTAGGGGTCATCGCCTGTGTTAGATTATCTGTTGCACCTCGCCCCAACATTAGCATTCGTAATTACCAGCAGCCTCTCTCTAGAGGAAAAACATGCTTTGGTGAAGTGCAGAAGTTTGATTTCCCAGAGAGGCGCCCTGCAGGTACGGTGTGTACAGATATCATGCATGCAAATATCTGTCCAGACATGGAAGAGAGTTTAGAAATTTTTCAAAATCCATCTGTGCACCTCCCTAAAATATAAGGTCTTTGGACTTGAAGTCCTACTTCTGTCAGCAAGAATTAACTAAATAGTTGGCACTTATTCTGTGGCCACTTCTTATCAATGCAGAACTGCTTACCAGAAGAGAAACAGACCCTTTAAAATTCTACTGTAACTTTTCCCCCTAAATAATGTGTTAAGTTTTCTTTCTAGAATTACAATAGGTTCTGTGACAAGAGTGCCTGCCACATGCTGAGCAGAGAGGCAGAGGGCTGAGTATTTTTATGACTCATTTCAATTAATCTTTGCAAAACTCCTTTATGAGTTTGAGGCTCACCGAGGCTTCAAAATGAGTCCTCGAGTCTGAGAGCTGCATGATTTTGCACTGAATTATTAACGTAAAAGCCGTGGTTCAGGTCAACACATATTTACTGGGCACATACCGTGTGCCACACACTGAGAAGCAAGAGGAGAAATGAAATGATTTCCAAACAACATGGTTAAGGGGCTACAAGACAGGCAGACTCGAGACGCAAGGGGTGCAGTTTCTCTACATGCTTTGCAACAGAAGATGGTCACTCCTGTCTCGAGGTGCTTCTATGGTCTCCAAACTGCTTCCTCATCAACACTCCTTTACCAGCCCAGGCCCCAGCAAAAGGACACGGTTTTGCTCGCTGTCCAGAGTGTCTGTTTCAGCTAAGGGAAGAAACTGCAACAGAAGAAAACATAGGAAACAGGCTAAGTTTTCAAATGCATCTCTCAGGGACTATTTGGGACAAAATGAACAGAAATAAACAATCCTCCACTATCAGGTGACATATTTTATACGTTCCACCCTGCGCTGGAGGAAAGGAGCAGAAAGAAAAGCGCTCCTAAATCAGGGTTTCAAAATCAGATGCTGGTATGAGAAAGAAGATTAACCTGGTCCCTTAACAATCAAATTTACAACTAGTAAAGGGTTATGAAAAATTCTATCTCTATGTCGAGCATAGGAAAAGTACAAAGTCTTTGGAGGCAAGGGATGATAAACTACAGCTTGGGCAATAAGCTGGGAAGGGAATGGGCAGTTCAAGAGTTCAGCACGTGTGTGCTGGGAAGGTGTTTAGTTAAAGAGAAGGGCCGGCTCCAGACAAAGGCACAGAAAGGTCATCTCGAGAGTCATTCCATCTTCATTACGACGGGGAGGACCACGGGCCAGAGCGCACACGCCAGGCCTCCACGTGCACCCTGCACAGAGGTTTAAGACTTGCGGGGACATTGAAATATGCAACAGAAGTAAACACAGAAAGCTGGCAGTGGGGCCTAGACACTGTGATCTGGGAACGGACGCACTCCCCGCCAACCAACACAAATGTGATGTGAATGTTCCCCCCCAACTGGGCACCCTGAATTTTTTTTCAGGGTGAGTGATAGATTAATTAAAGATTACAATCTGTCTTCTTCAGCAGGCCAGAGAACTGGACCTGCAATCAGTGGCTTAATTTTCTTCCAGGTAACTGCCAAACTTGAGTGTGTTCACCCAAATAAAATAATTTCCCCCGACTGTGCAGCTCGAAATTTCTGTGCTCGCATAAGAGTTGCCCTGTGACTCAACCCTCATCTTTCACTTTTCAGGAACTGGGGGAAAGGTGAATTTCATTTACTGATTATCAGCAGGCTCTGGAGAGATAGGCCAGGGCTGTTGTAATGGGAAAGCGGCCCTGACTCACACCTCGTACAACCTTCCTGAGGAGGCCACAGCCAGCAGATTTCCATGCTGCAGTGATGTCCACAGGGGCAGAGGAAGGTAACCTTCCCTCCTCCACCCCCTCCAAACCCATACAGACCCACCTGCCCTAATTCAGCCTCCACTATAGTCAAAAGGATACCCTGTCCATCCTTGTACCCCTACCCCACAGGAACTGTGGCACTGGGGGTCCCGATTCATTACAAAAGGCTGTAACGACCAAGCATAATTAACTCCCTCTCCCTGCCAGTGTATGAAGAGGGCTTTAATAGCTGGGTTTGCTTCCAGTCACACAGCACATGGTTCAGTCTCCTCCCACCTCCCCCGCTGGCGTAACCAATCAGAAGGCGAGACACAAGACAAGCAGCAGCGCGCCTAAGGGCAGTGAGGAGGACCAGAAGGACAACAGTTGGCTGCCTGGGCCCAGCAGAGACAGGTTCACTGTCTACAGTTAGTGAGGAAATCAGTGACTCTACTCTTAGGAGCTGTGTGACTTGGGAAAGGTGGTATCTGAAACCTTCATCTACCCATCTGGAAAATGCACACCGCTTCCCACTGGGATGTTTGGGGATGAAAGACTAAGAAGGATGATGGATACAAGGAAGGATGAGTAGATGGATGGATGAATGGATGGGTGGATGGAAGGAGGGAAGGTACGGACATTAATATTTTAAAGACCTGGCCGGCAACCAGCACAGAGTGAGCGCTCAATAAAAGGATTCTGTTGTCTTTATGATGAGAAATCTGATCAGACCACACAGACATGGAAATTAAGAGAAAAGATAATCCACACAAGCCAGAGGCAAGCCACCTGCTCTCCCTCCTCACCGTCCTCATCCTGCTCCCCCGCCCCCATGACCTTCAGCATCAGAAGCCAGGCCTCAGCGGACTTAAGCAGGCCCTGCCCTACCCCTGCCTGGGGCTGCACTGGGTGGCCGGAACAGCATGGATTCCATGGGGAGACATGCAAGAGGAGGAAGACGTGACTGCCCTTTGGTGGAAGAGGAAGTGAGGGGAACAGGGCCCAGTCATGCCCAATGACACTTTCCAGTGCACGCATCCTCCATGGGGGCAAAACATCTAATGACGATGTTTTATGTCAGGCTGTGTGCCTGGTGAACTTAGGGATCATAACACCAGCCAGCATTTAATAACTGCCTGGTGTATGCAAGGCACAGTGGTGGGCACTAGAGAAATGACCTATGAAGCCTGGGAGGGGTCCCACTGCCGCTGCGGACACCGGGTATGTTGAGAGCTATCGTTTACTGAACACTTGGTGCATGTCAGGTGCCGAGCCAGATGACGACTCTGCCCTCGAGCTGCCCCGGCCACGTCCAGTCTCTCATCCCAGCTTTACCACGGAGGAAACCAAGTCCTGCAAAGCCTGCGCTCCTCACTCAGGGGCACACCTCGGGGAAGTGATTGAGACGGATTCCGTCTAACCCATGTCTGATTCTTTTCTTTCATGGCTGCCCATGGACGCAGCACCCTCGGAATTCCTGAAGGTGCGTTGTTAATGAAAACTATGTACTTAGCAATTACTGGGAAGAAGAGGTCGTTGGTTCTGACCAGTTGACCTAATCTTCATAATTGTCTGAGGAAAATAGGACTTTTCCAATTATGATATAGGAAGAGGCTCAGAGAGGTGAAGCCTTCTGCCCAAGTATGAACAGCAGGACAGCTGGGATGTCCACACTCAGGTCAACTGCCTGTATTCAACAGTCAGGAGATACCAGCCAAGGCAGGGCTCCTCTTCGAAACTCAACCATCAAGACACAAACGCAGATGAAGTCGCGTATCTGGGGGCCCCTAGTGTCCCCTTTTCCTGCTGTTCCAGGCAGAGTGTGCGTGTATACATCCCCGTGGTGGCAATGCCTGTCACTCCTATCCTGACTTCTCTTCGGAGAAGGAGAATCCTACCATTAGCTCCAGAACTATGAAAGTGGGTCACTGGCGCCGCAGGAAGGAGATGCAAGAGGACAAAGGAGGGGTGAGGACTTGTATCCTTTCTCTCCAGGCTCAGAGCGCGGGCCCTAGAGACCTAATCCAGCCTTGGCCCCCGTCACTGATCACTCAGATTCTGATGTCGGCGGCAGACTTAGCATGAGATGCTATCTCCTTGGGCAGACCCCGTCCATCTGCGGCCTCTGCTCGTGGCACGAGATGCTCCACGAAATGCTGGCTTCATGCAGGGAGGGAGTCGATGGTCCAGGGAGAGAATGAGACACAAACTGTCTTGGCAATCTCTCCCCGCTGACATGAACTTGGGGTTTGGGGTGGTGGTGGCCTGCAGTCATGACATAAAAAGAGTGTCACAGGGCATGCTTTGGAGACGAGAGGGGCGTGACAGTGGGCCTACACATAGGGACTCCTCCCAGTTTACCCAACTTCCTTCTGAGATTCCGGGACACCTTTCTTGCCCTGTGCCGTGTTTTCTTCTGCTCTTGGGTCAAACCACACCCAAAGCATCATTTTCAGGTTTTTTGTTTGTTTGTTTTCCAGTAGCGAAAATTAGATGCTTCAGATATTCAAATCAAAATTGAGCCTCCAGAAAAGCGACAATAGTCATCTCTCACCCATGAGTGTGTTGATAGTTTTCAGTTGGTGGTGTCAATTAGTGAGGATTTAAAAATGCAAGTGGGATTTACAGTAACCACCACAACAAAAACCTAGCTAGTATTTACTTGGCACCACTATCATTTGTTCTGACTGGCTGACATAATCTTCCTAATATTCTGGGGAAAACAGGGTTTCTCCAATTATGATAAAGGAAGAGGCTCAGAGAGCTGAAGCCTTCTGCTCAAATGTGGCCAGCCAGTTCAGCTGGGAGGTCTACACTTTAGGTCAGGAACAGGCAGACAGTTCTATATCTCTTTTTAACTCAGAGATTCCACGATTCTAACATTCATTTTCCCAGTATAACCTGAATTTCAACATTGGCTTATACCCACCTTTCAAGGAACTCTTTCAGCATCCATCTTTTAATTTTAGCAAATATCTGTAGGGCTACTATTTTGCATCAGACCTTCTACTCGGTACCAGGGATCCAGCTATTAATGAGACTGATGCCTGTCTGCCTTCAACAAGGCTCATGGAGAAGACAGGTGTGTAGATAAACACAACAAACAAGTGTGCCATGAGTGATGCGGATCTAGAAAGGCCTGAAGGAACACCCAGGAGTGGCCCAGCTTAGTCCTACAACACGAGGAAAGTCTTTCTGGAGGAATGACAATTCAGCTGAAACCCAAAAGATGAGTCGGAGGTAGACCTATGGACAATGGAGATCCGAGGACCACATTCAGGGAGCAGAGAAACTACAGGTGTTCCCTTCAGAAGAGGCTGGCTACCTCTCACCCAAGGAGTCTTGTAGACACTCAAGTGCACCTTGGAAAATCTGTTAAAATAATGTATTAGCTGTGCCACTAGTTCATTTGGAATCTCAGATACCGGAGGTGCATGATGAGAAGTGACCCCTCTGTCTGGTCCAAAGGGGGAAAGGATGAACGCTGCCTGCAGGGCCAGCTCCGTGCCACTTGCCAACCAACTCCCAGTACCACCTGGTCCACAGCTGCCTCCAACAGCTCGAGGACTTGACCACACTGATCCCGGAAACACAGGGGCTGCCAGAGAAGAGGCGCTCCTTACATAAGGCCCTCCCTTGCTGGTTTTCTATGGGCAGTCTGCGTGCACTAAGTCGCTTCAGTCCAACTCTGTGTGACCCCATGGACTGCAGCCCACCAGGCTCTTCTGCCCATGGGATTCTGCAGGCAAGAATAGTGGAGTGGGATGCCATTCCCTCCTCCATGGGGTATTCTGAGCCCAGGGGTCGAACACTTGTCTCTGACATCTGACATGCATTGGCAGTGGGGTTCTTTACCACAAGCGCCACCTGGGAAGCCCCAGTGTACAGCCTGTGAAATAGTAACAGCCAGCTGTTAGTCCAAACCATGCAGTTCAAGTATGCTGCCTCCTGGTGCTCTTGT